GGGGGTCCACGGCGCGGTGCTGCGGGGGCGGGGACCCCAAAAACCTCAGAGAGCGTCCTTCCACCCGGGAAATCCCATCCGCATCTTCATCCCACCCCAGCCTCATCCTCACGCCCATCCCCATCCTCATCTTCATCCCCTCCTCATCTTCATCCTCACCCCCACCCCATCCTCATCCTCACCCCCATCCCCATCCTCATCCTCACCCCCACCCCATCTTCATCCCCATCCCATCTTCATGTTCATCCCATCCTCATCTTCATCCCCATCCTCATCTTCATCCCCATCCCATCTTCATCTTCATCCCATCCTCATCTTCATCCCATCCTCTTCCTCACCCCCATCCTCTTCCTCACCTTTATCCCATCCTTGTCTTCATCCCCTTCCCTATCTTCATCTTCATCCCCATCCTCATCTTCATCCCCATCCCCGTCTTCATCCCATCCTCATCTTCATCCCCATCCCTACCCCATCCTCTTCCTCACCCCCATCCCACCCTGATGCCCATCCCATCCCCATCCCCTCCCCATCCTCACCCTCATCCCATCCCCACCTTCATCCCCATCCCCTCCTCATCCTCACCCCCATCCCCTCCTCCCAGCCGCACCCCGGGAGCTTCGCCTCCCTCCCCCGCAGGAGCCGGGCCCACGCTCGCCGCCGCCCCTCGGGACTTTTATTCAGCGTTAAAAACGACGGCGGTCACGGAAAAAGAAGGGAAAAAAGCAGAAGAGGCGGGCGAGCCTTCCTCCCCGCTCGCTGCCGAGCGACAGCCCGCCCCCGCCGCCGGCATCTCGGGAACCGGCCGGGCCGCGAGGCTCCGTCTGGCTCCGAGGACGGGGAGAGGAGAAGCTCGCTCCATTCCGCCTGTTTTGGCCCCAGAAACGCCCCCGGTCAACGCCCGCGGCTCCCTGAGGTTTCTCTTCGTCCTCCTCTCCCGGGAGGTCCGGGAACGCCGCAGCGGCGTCCGCCTTCCCGTCCTCGCCGGACGCTTGAACTCGACCTCGCGGCCCGTCCGCGGGCGGAGCGGGCGGCCGCCGGCCCCCACCTCCTCCCCCGTCCTCAATCCACGTGCGTCTTCATGTGGGAGATCAAGGAGACCTTGGTCCTGTAGCAGTTCCCGCAGTCGGAGCAGCGGTAGGGAGCCTCCCCGGTGTGGGTCCGCTCGTGTTCCAGGCATTTGGAGCTCATGGTGAAGCCCTTCCCGCAGAGGTGGCAGCGGTAGGGCCTCTCCCCGGTGTGGATCCGCTGGTGGACGATGAGGTGGGAGGTGTTGGTGAAGCTCAAGCCGCACTCGGGGCATTTGTGGGGTCTCTCCCCGGTGTGGAGCTTCTTGTGGAGCTTGAGGTTGAAGCGCCGGGTGAAGCCCTTCCCGCACTCGGAGCAGAGATGGGATTTCTCAGCCTGGCGCGGGCTCTGCTGGAAAAGCTCCGGGCTTATCGCCGGGCCGGGCCGGGCGCCGGGCTTCTCCGGCTGGTGGGACGCGAGGGGGGAGGCGTCGGCGAAGCCCTTCCCGGGCTCGTGGGGCTGCTCCTGGGGGCGG